AAAAAAAAAAATCCACCATGACTAAGGCCTCCGGGCTGGGTGGTTGCATGTATCGACCACTCCTTCGAGGGTGGGCATGTGTTCGAAGACAAAAAAGCCACCATGACTAAGGCCTCCGGGCTGGGTGGTCGATTCTAATATTGGGTCGTTGAAGATATGGAGCTTATTGGAGACCTCAGAAGCAGGTCGAAGATCTTTACATGGTTTTGATTTTGTAGAATTCATTTTTCAACCTCAAGGGAAGGTAAATTAGATTCATTACGGATATAGCTCGAGCAGACCTCGGTGGCAGGTCGACGATTTTATTTTATTCAGGTTTTGTTGGATTTGTTTTCTCTGACCTCAGTGACAGGTCGATAGTATTTATGATGGCTCGAGCAGGTTGATGATTCCTTATTTCATTCTGATTTTGTCGAATTTATTTTTAGACCTCAGTGGCAGGTCGAGATGGTACTTGTTATTGTTCGAGCAGGTTTATGGATTTATTGGATTTGGTTTTGTTGTATTTGTGATTTGGATCCCAGTGGCGGGAGTTTATTATGGATAATTCGAGCAGGTTGATTGCATTTTATCTTGGTTTTGTTGAATTGATTTTTCGATTTCAAAGGCAGAGAGATGGGATTCATTCCGCCATGAGCAGGCTGATTGCGTTTTATCTTGGTTTTGTCGAATTGATTTTTTGACTTCAAAGGCAGGGAGGTGGGATTCATTCCGTCACGAGCAGGTTGATTGCGTTTTATCTTGGTTTTGTCGAATTGATTTTTCGACTTCAAAGGCAGAGAGATGTTATTCATTCCGTCACGAGCAGGTTATTGTGTTTTATCTTGGTTTTGCCGAATTGATTTTTCGACTTCAAAGGCAGGGAGATGGGATTCATTCCGTCACGAGCATGTTGATTGCGCTTTATCTTAGTTTTGTCGAATTGATTTTTCGACCTCCGTGGCTGGCTGAGTATATTCATTATTGCTCGAGCAGGTTGTTTGTTGATTCTGGTTTGTCGAATTTATTTTTCAAAGGAATATACAACAGGCTTGAATTTTAAATTTTGAACTGGGGGGCGATAGGAGGATGAGGTAACCGGAAAGGCCTATGATTAGGAGGAGAAAGCTCGAACATGGGGATTGAAAAAGTAGAAGATTTAAGTTCAAATTTTCAAATTCAAGACTTTGGGAGATCGGGCATATGGTTTTCAACCTCATCGGTGATTACTCGGTTTTCGGTTTCCGACCTCAACGGTCCCTCGATTCTTGGTTCTCGGTTTTCGACCCCAGTGGTCTCGATTCTCGATTTTCGACCTCAGCGGTCTGGATTCTCAGTTTTCGACCTCAACGGTCTCTCGATTCTCGGTTTTTGACCCCAGTGGTCTCGATTCTCGGTTTTCGACCTCAGTGGTCTGGATTCTCGATTTTCGACCTCAACGGTCTCTCGATTCTCGGTTTTCAACCTCAACGGTCTCTCGATTCTCGGTTTTTGACCCCAGTGGTCTCAATTCTCAGTTTTCGACCTCAGCGGTCTGGATTCTCGGTTTTCGACCTCAACGGTCTCTCGATTCTCGGTTTTCGATCCCAGTGGTCTCGATTCTTGGTTTTCGACCTCAGCGGTCTAGATTCTCGATTTTAGACCTCAACGGTCTCTCGATTCTCGGTTTTCGACCTCAACGGTCTCTCGATTCTCGATTTTCGACCTCAACGGTCTCTCGATTCTCGGTTTTCAACCTCAACGGTCTCTCGATTCTCAGTTTTCGACCCCAGTGGTCTCGATTCTCGGTTTTCGACCTCAGTGGTCTGGATTCTCGATTTTTGACCTCAACGGTCTCTCGATTCTCGGTTTTCGACCTCAACGGTCTCTCGATTCTCAGTTTTCGACCCCAGTGGTCTCGATTCTCAATTTTCAACCTCAGCAGTCTGGATTCTCGATTTTTTACCTCAACGGTCTATCGATTCTCGATTTTCAACCTCAACAGTCTCTCGATTCTCGATTTTCGACCCCAGTGGTCTCGATTCTCGGTTTTCGACCTCAGCGGTCTGGATTCTCAGTTTTCAACCTCAACGGTCTCTCGGCTCTCGATTTTCGACCTCAACGGTCTCTCGACTCTTGGTTTTTGACCTCAGCGATCTCAATTCTCTATTTTCGACCTCAGTGGTCTCGATTCAGTTTCGACCTCAGTTGATGTTCGACTTCTGGTGTTCGACTGCAGTGGCAAGTCATTAGGTTCTTGTCCTTATTGACAAATCTTTCGGTTTTCGACCCCGACGTCAGATCATTCGGTTTCCGACCTCCGTGGTCTTTCGCTTTTTGATCTTGAGATCTCAAAGCTCATTTGGAGGATATTTCAGTGGTTATTCAATGGTCATTCGACTTTTGATGCTCGATATTAGTGGCAAGTTGAAGAAAACAGCTCAAAGAGGCATTTCACTCTTGGATCGATATTAGTACCTCATTCTCTCATTCGCTACTCATTTTGATTACATACTACTCTCTCTCTCTTGATCTGGGCACTGACTTAAGCATCGGAGGCCCGACGCCGGGGCCACCCCCGGCGTTGGGTTTTTGCAGGTACGGAGGCCGATCGAGTTGAAGGAGCCCGGGTGAAATCTATTTCACTTCAGAACAATTCCATGAATATTATATGTTGATCAAATTTTGTACATCAACAAACCTCTTGAAGGTTTTTTCCAACATCTTTAAGTATCTACAAACATGAAATCATTCATAACTTGAAAATTAAGAGCTCTTGCATTATATTTTCAAAGTTCATAAAACAAATTGTGTTTTTTGATTTTTTTTTTTTTTCGTTGCATCTTAAGAGTTCGAAACAATAGAATTGTTCGCAGAAGGCTTGTATATTTGAAATACCAATATATACAAGTTGTTGTGCATAAATTATTACACATCTCCTGGGCCGGCCCATTAATCAAAGAGTTACACCACTCCTAAAGGAAATTGGACCTGCATCAGCTTTGGTCCAAAATTTGGAAAGAAAAGCCCAGAGACCTGCACAACCCATCCTATGCTGATCTTTCATCAAGTCTAGACGTCGAGCCATCAAATAGCACATTCCAACAGCTTTTGTCGATAACTCTATTGTATGACAAGAAACCAATAAAGTAAACATGTACATGGACCGCTTAGCCGGTCCCATCATAAAATGTCTCGATTTTTAGCATGGGGACATGTGTCACTCTCCCTCACACTTTGTTGACATATGGCCATTATTGCATTTATGCTTTTTTCATATATAAATACAACCCTAAAGGCTTCAAAATGATCATCACAAATTCAATAATATTCTCTAATTTTTGCACCCAACCTATATTTTCCAAATCCATTTAATTTTTAATGGACAGTATGAATCATTACTATTCATCCCCTTAAAATTGGCTTTGTAACCGTCCATTTTTAATGTGGTTGATATCTAACGTTAACAAAATGGCGTTAGATTGAGTGCGACCATCAAGGTATACTAGAGAATCTCCCTCTATATATACTCACAACCTCCATAGCACTCTCAATAAACAAAATATCAACCTAAAGTGTCTCCAAATCACCTCTCTTATTCAATTATTCTAATTGAAAAGGGTGGTATGGCCGACCCCCTGAGAAGTCTTTTCTACCTCGTTGCTACGTCGATAAAAATTCTCCAGATATCTTGATTTTTCATCTCCTTACCATATAAATTTTGAACTTTGTTATCCCTATATTAGATAGCCTTTGAAAAGAATATAGATAGATTATCCCACCCTCGACAATAACATTGAGAGGCTGGAATAATTGGTCCTATAAGAACGACTTCAAAATAATCGGGCGATCTAAGGAGAGGTCTGGTAACGTTCTTACTTTGTGACACCTTCACGACCTCCCCCTAGATCATAAACGTTCGACCCAGTGATCAACCCACCTAGACGTCCAGTCACTGTTTTATTCTCGATCATGACCGTCTGGAGTTTAGATCATTAAGTCGGGTCACGACAAAAAATTGGGGGCCCAACAAAGGAGATCTTGATGAGTAACATCAACTTTTTGAGTTGAGGTCAACCATCAAGGTGAAACAATACCTCAAGACATCCCCATTATTAACAAAGGTCTTCATAGAAAAGCCTCATTTGACACACCCCCAGATCGGCAAAAATAGGACCTAACTAGGGGAAAATAATCTAAAGAAGATAAATAGTCATACTGAGGAAACTTAACCTTAAAAAAATTGGATAGACCAAGGAACGGTATGCCAAACATGCGCAGGAGGCGGCGGTCGGACCGGTAAACAAAAGTCATAAGTTCCCAACTTGAACCACACAAAAGATATTTTCTAGAAATACTTGATGAATGAATAGTTAGTAGAATGAAAACATAGATGATGTGCTTCTTTGTATCCTTATATATCCACTTGAACAAAATATTTATGAGTTTTTGTGGATAGGTCATGCCGAAACTCTATTCCTAGTATGTTCGATTAAAGTATCTTGTACAAAGAGGGATCAAAATAAAGTCCCAAAAAAGTTGAGGCGATCCCGAATTCGGCGATTTTCATATCGAGAGATCCAGCCTCATCTAACACCTTGTCCTAATATTTACTTACCTCAATGAATGGTGCGCTGAAAGAAAAAAACCGGTTTTCAAAAGAAGAGCAGCTGCCAAGTCCAACGGCCGTTATTATCCATCATAGAAAACAATCAAGAAGTTGTTTTAGTGTAAATAGAAAGAATGATTGCGCACACCCAAAACATGCAAACAGACTTTTTTGCTCCCAGTACCAGGACCGATCAACTACGTCCATCAAGCGTCAACTGCTCTCAACGTGGTTCCCTGGACAAATTGCACAAACCATTTTTTTCTATGTAGTTCATGTTTGGAGTTCCAAGACTTGAGTTTTCTGGTGAAATTCCGGCGACGAAGTTTTTACAAAAGTTTCGAGCTTTTCACTCTGATTCTCTTTGAGCATGCAATAGGAGAGTGAATACATAGTTTTAAGATTCATTACTTTGTATTTGCTCCGTTTTTACTTATGAAGCTTTTTAAGGTAAACTTGGTGTCTTGCAATAGAATTTGAATAATGTTTAGATATTTTCACTTTTCTTGCTTGTCTAAGATACTTAGGAGTTAATTACGTGCTTATTTTGTGTTAAAGGTTGAGACTTTGTTGAAAGCTTGATCATTTAAGTTAGAAGGCTCGCTTTTAACAACATAGGATCTTATACTCGCTTATTCTTTTTGTCTTATTTTTGTTTTTTCTCGAGTTTTGAAGGCTCGGTGTTACAAAAGTTCAAATCTTTAGTCAAAGTTTGCATCTTCGGTAATCGCTTTCAATTACTTAGGTCAAATTAGTTTAAATCCCTCTCAATCATCTTGTTAGGATGTCTGGGACTTTGTCTACGTTTTTGTGCTTTTGACGATTAGTAAATGAATGGAGTTCCAAACAACCTTCCTCGAGAGACACGATTCGATGGCTGAATTTATTCCGAACTCGGATAAAAAACAATAAAGCACCTTTCGGGAAGAAATCCAGATGCTGGGGGTTTTCAGCGCCCACCCCCTCCTCATTTGTCGGCAATCTGCGCATTCTCTTCACTGATCTGGGTTTGGGTGGGGACCTGAGATGGCAGCTTCCTCTACATCGGCTTCCCCTTCCTAGACCGCGGGTTGAGGTCTTTAACGATGACTTCTACCTTTCTCTCTCCCGGCTTGAAGAGTTTTGGAGTCCAGATCTTGACTAAGACTCGTCTCTTCACTAGATCTGACTAGACGCTTAAGTAAGTTCATAGTACTTAGTTCTAGGGCCTCAGACCTGCTGCTCTCTTTTTTGTTTTTTGTTGTTGTGGGGATTGACGTGTGCATGTTCAGGTAGCCATAGAAATGCGCTCGCAATAAGTAAGAGAAATTATATTCTGTTGTTTGTAATTGTGTGATGTTAACTAGTTATTTCCTTTCTCTCCCCAGATTCGATCTCCGCCGGAATCCAAATTGATTGAACTATGTCGTCAACGTTTAGCGGCGATGAAACAACACTCTTCTTTGGCTTCCTCGGCGCCGCTGCCGCCCTCGTCTTCTCCAGCGTGGGAGCGGCTTATGGCACGACCAAGAGCGGCGTTGATGTGGCGTGATGCGGCCGAAGCTGGTGATGAAGTCTATCGTGCCCGTGGACATGGCTGGTGTCCTGGGTATCTACGGCTTGATTATTGTTGTGATCATCAGTACAGGTATTAACGCTAATGTAACGCCCAATATATTATTTACTATTTATGGAGCTCGACTTTATTTCCATAAATAGCCAGTTTCCTAATTTGATGCGTTTATTATATTTATTTGCATTAAATCGAATAATTAGTATTAAAATCCAAGCCATGGAGAATTAATTCAATTTCTAATTCTTAAAGTCGGATTTATTTAGCCCAAGTATCGGTTCTAATTTTTAAAACCTAGCCTTGGAATTATCAGAAACCTTATTAAAGCGGACCGTAGCCGAATAACTAATTTATTCGAGCCCAATCACTATCCAACGAGTCCAATTATTCTAGCCGGCCCATTAAAGTAAATCGAGACTATGTTCGATTTTATTCCGGCCCACTACATTTCAGTAAATCGAGCCCACGTTCGATTTGATTTTAGTCCATTTTAAAGATTGAGCCTATGTTCGATTTTGAAATCCAAGCCCTGTTATCTAGTAGATTTGACCGACTAATTTAATAAGTCCAAGTACGGTTAATTTCATTAACCGAACATCTAATTCTTTAATCGGTATTCACTTTAAAATTGGAGCCCAAGTTGAATTAAATTTAATAGCCCGGTTTTAAGATTTTTGAAGCCCGGTTGAATGAAATCCTAAGCCCGATTTTAGGCCCAATATACAAGTGAAACCCTAGATACCTTACACATATAAATACACACGCTTAGCTATTTCTTTCTTCCCCAAAACATCTCATTCGCGCAGCTCTCTCTCACCTCCATCTTCAACCTCCATAGCTCAAAATCCGACCACCCCTACCATTTTCCGGCAAACCCTCCACGCCGGCGACCCAAAACCGCGACCCTCACGCCGGTCAAGCCCTCTGTCCGCAGTCAAACACGCTCCATCGCGCACCACAACTCCAGCTCGACTTCACGCGACATTCCAGCTCGAGACACCATAGTCGAGCCCTTTGTCCGCAACCAGCTGCACCAGTCACTCTGGCAACCCCATTTCGCGCGCGCAGCTCAAGGACCACCGCTGTCCACAAGCTCGAGCTCCGGTCTGCAACTCCCACAGTCCGTACAGCCGCGTTTCAGCTCGCAACGAGCCTGTACCCACGCATTCTATCCGTATCGGCGACCAACTTCAAGCTCGAGCCACCCGCGACTGATTTCGGCCTGATTCTGGCGAGTTCCCGTCGGAAAACAGCTCCTCCGCGCCACACTTCACCGGATCCGCGCCCAGCGCCCTAGGTCCGACCCGAGCAGCACTAAAATAGACCCGGTTGCATCATATTCAGCTTGGGCTGCCCCTAATCCGGCCCGTTTTGGTTTCCTTGACCCGGTTCTAGCCCGATTTACTCTTGTTTTATCCCGATCCGCTCGTTTTCGAGAATTTAAAGGTATAATCGATAAAACTTAATTTATATGGCTTAGACTTTTTTATAAATGAGATAAGAGGAAAATGATATGTGATTTGAGCGATTTTGACAAAAAAGGGGCATACGAGCTTAACGCTATTTTCGGGATCTCGTTAAATAATTTTGATGAAATGCAGAAATAAATGCCATTAATTTCATTGCGACGTCTTGAGGCGTAGGTTCAAATTTTATAATTTTTGGACTTGGTTTGGTAGGTAAACGAGTCGGTCAAATGCGTTGACCGGTCGTAGTAATTTGGAGTTGACTGGATTAGGAGTTACTGTTTGACTTATAATGTTGACCGTTGACTGTTAATATATTGAGGATCCGACGATGTGAAGTTCATAAATTTAGGATACCATTTGACTTAGTTATAAAATCGAGACTTTAGTCGTTAAGTCGATATTTTAGAAAATTTAGTCGGATATGATTTTAGCTGCAGTTGATATTTTTTAAAATCATTATAAATCACATAGAATATATATATATTAATTATCAGCCTTAATGATTTAGGAATTTCGAGAATCGAACCCTAGTTTTATCCGGTTTCGATAACCGGGTATGTTTCTAGATCCAATTTTAAATGATTGAACCCTAGTACCGTCTACATAATTAATAGCCGTCTTATCGTCAATTTGTAATGCGTATCGTCGTCTTGCGCACGTGACCGTCCCTCGTCCGATCGTTGGAGCCGAACCGCCGAGTGCGTGCCCGTGCACCGAGTCCGAGTAACCCCCGAGTGCGTGTCCATGCACCGAGTCCATCCGACTTGTCGTCTACGCGCCGTTCCGTTAGCCGTGGTCTAAGCACGCCCCTGCGTCAGTGACCGTGGCACCGTTTCAAACTCGTGCATCGGCTAAGCCGTGTCAGTCGAGTTTGTGCCTGCCCGAGTTGCCGCGCCGAACTCGGACCACGGTCAAACCGAGCTGCACATAGTCAAGCGAATGACCGACCAGCTCCGAGTGAGCTATCGGTTCAGTTCAGTTGAAGCAGTCCGGTCAGTCCAGACGGTTCGAGATATATTTCAGATTCAGTCAGATTAAGATTTCAAATATATTTAAGATTTCAGATATAGTTAAGATTCCAGATAAAGTTAAGATTCCAAATAGATTAAAGATCCAGATATAGTTTAGATTTCAGTCAGATTAGATTTAAGTCAGATTTTAGTTCCAGACTTAGAAATATTTCAGATAATTCTAGAATGCCTCAAAGACAATAATATTTTCAAAACCAGCTCGTAAATCCCTAAAATGATTTTAATGTCGAGCGAGCGAACCTGGATAGCTCAGATAATATAATTCGAGTTTTCAGTTTAAGATAAGTACTTAGAATATATTTTGTGCTTATATATCTTGTAGCTTGTGGAGAGTCGAGCCTCCGACAGCTGCAAACCATTCAGATCTTGTATTTCAGCATATCAGGTGGGGACCCTGAACTGGGTATTACATCTTCTATAATCGCAATACCATGGTTGAGGTATGTATGTGAGATTCCGCCCGCATAAGGGGCAATTACCTAGCAAGTAGATCCTTATTAGCTAAGTGAACCGAACGCTAGTTGAGATAAGAATTCTAGTACAGCTTTGAGTTAAGTGAATTAAGAACTCTAGAGCAGCCTTGAGTTAAGAATAGTATCAGATGATCTTAGAATAATTCTTCCCTATGGGACATTGTTCTAGAGATAGGTTTCGTCATAACCAAGTGTTTCGAATCTCCAGTAGTATCAAGGACTCTAGTGCATTTGTGAGTTAAGCTCCAACCTTAGAAGTGCATAAGGGTTAGTTTTGCCCTAGTATGGGCAACGACCTACAGATTAGGTCCTACGGTTGCTTATCGTGAGCGTGAAGACCTAGTGTCTTTCTCGCCTGTTAAGCAGTCAGTTGAGGAGAAATTATATATAGTAAGTTGAGCAACTATTAGAGATAGACAGTTGAGCAGCAGTTATAGACAATATACTTATTTATACGCATTTGTGATGTGTTTTATCATATTAGATGTATGCTTAGGTTGTGATGTGTTTTATCATATTAGATGTATGCTTAGGTTGTGATGTGTTTATCATATCAGATGTATTTTTGGTTCGTGATATTGCAATTATAGTTAGTCAGTTGAGCAGTCGTTATATTTAGTCAGTTGAGCAGCAATTATAGTCAGTCAGTCGAGCAATCATTATAGTTAGTCAGTTGAGCACCAGTTATAGTTATCCAGTCGAGCAGAAATTATAGACAGTCAGCTGAGCAGCGGTTATAGACAGTCAGCTAAGCAGCAGCTTCAGATAGTTTGCCGATTTTAGTGTTTATTGGACGAATGCCTAATCTGTTAGTAAAATGTTCATCTTCATATCGTTTTCTGCCGACCCAGTAAGTATTTGCATATATGCCGATGTCATGATATGTTATTATATTAGCTGTATACTTCAGTGCCGGTTCCGGCGGAGCACGTGGATTATTTATGCTCACGCCCCCCACTAACCATTTTTCAGGTGACAGTGTCGAGCGTGGAGCGTGAGCCGATGATGTGGTGGTGGTCATAGCAAGGATATTTTTAGTAAACATGTCATGTATATTTAGCATGATTGAGTTATTATGTTTTGTTGATGCATGCTTACATTTGCTTCCGCACTCAATATTTCAGTATCTAGAATTTCAGTCTATGCATGCTTAAATCCTGAGATGTTCAGAGTAATGAATTGTACTCGGTTGCATGCCTAGAAGTTTAAAGATATTAAAGATTAAAGATTTAAGATTAAAGTTGTGTAGCATCCCGCATATTAAAGTTAAAGTATTTTTGAAAAATTAATATGAGTTTTCGAGAATTAAAACAGAGTTTTGCTTTTATAGCGCGAAAAATTTACTCTGATTTTAGTAAGTTTAGACGGGGTGTTACACCTAAGGCCAAGTCCTACTACTTGTTTGATGGCTACGCTCACCTTTCTTCTAGACTCGCTTGTGGTCTCGTCGGCCTTGCTGCTGGTATGGCCATCGGGATCGTCGGAGATGCTGGTGTCAGGGCTAATGCACAACAACCAAAGCTCTTTGTAGGGATGATTCTTATCCTTATCTTTGCTGAAGCTTTGGCTCTCTATGGTCTCATTGTCGGAATCATCCTTTCTTCTCGTGCTGGTCAGTCTAGGGCCGATTAGAAGGGCATGTTGGACTTACGCATTAGTTGAGCTTCTTGCTATTGAGTAAGAATCTTATTTATACCTCCTCTCCGGTAGCATGGTCGTGTGGCCATGACAGTGTTTTGTTTTGTTTATTCGTGTGGGAATTGCGGGTTTGCAAGAAATGTGTATGGTGGGTAGATCATAGACTCAGGTGTTTGTTTTTGTGTTGAATAAAGTTTCTGATATTTTTATTTATTGCTGGGGTTGTACCTTGCAAGGAACCGATTCAGTTTGTGTAAGAACATATCCTGTATTATTTTGGTGAAAACCGACTATTTTTTCTATTTCAGATCTATTACGTTGAAATTTGTACGAGTCATTAACAAGAAGGATTCGCCATTTTATGAAGAATTTTTACGTGCATCTTGAACTATCGAATCATTGAAATTGTTCTCAGTATGAGTCCTCTGAAGTTCATGCATAATATATTGATACTAGTATCGTGGCCCGTGCAAATGCACGGAACTATTCGAAATACGGTTTTGCTTCAAGTCCTTAGTTGGCTCCATAGTGGAGTCAATCTTCTTTATAAAGCAAGTAAATCATACCATATTAATAAAGTTATATTAGTGTTATTTAAGTAATCAGAGAATATACAGATCTCCCCTCTTCTCTCTCGCGATTAACCTCTCAAACCCTAGCCGTCGACTTGCTGCTTTCGTCGCCTTCCTCAGTGGGTTGCCGGACCCCTAACTGGCGGTCGCCCCCCTAGCCGCACGCCTTTGGCCCGATTGGCGTCTCTTCTTGCCGCTTGCAGCTGAGGATGACATCGGGAGTCCGTTCCGTGGATCTGCGGGGGCTCCGTCCTTCTCTTGGTTGGAGTGGCGCTGGAGGGGTTTTTCAGTCTGGGCTTGGTGTGGCTGGCCGGTTGCAACACGTTGGTGTTGGACTGGTCGGGGCGGAGGTTGTGGCTCCTTCTCGCCCTCCTCCTCTGTTCCTGTTGATTTGGGTTCAGGGGGCCTCTGCTCGGTTGATTTCGACTAGTGGTGTTAGTCGAACTCGCGCCGACGGAGGTGGGGTGGTGGATTTTGCTCCTCTTCTGGCCGTGGGGTGTGTCATCTTTATGAGTGGGTTGCAATGTTCAAAGGGGTTGTCCGCTAGGCCTTCGTTTGGCAGTTTCGGGAGCCGTCTTCGGGGTTGTGTTCTTCTCTTTGTGGATGGCCGTGTGGCAGCTGGTGCATCGTGCGGGCTGAGGTGCCTTTTCAAACCCTTTCTTCTGTGGCTCTGGTGTTGAGCCCGGGGGAGGCCAGTGCTTCCGTTTTTGGCTAGTGGTGTTAGCCGGTCTCGGGACATTGGTGTTGTGGGGTGTGATTTGGGTTTCTTGTGCTTCTGCGAAGGGGAGGGTCTGCTCATTGGTTGGGTCTGGGGCCAGGGTTGCCGCTTCAGATAGGCCTTTCGGCAGTTTCGGCGGTTTCTCGGGCTGAGGATTCTTCTTAGGGCCGACTGCTCATTCGGTAGCTTTGCTGTGGAAGGGCTCTTATTTTTTGTTATTTTCTTTGTTTAATTTGTAATAATCTTTTGTTTTTATGTGTGTTTTGTTGTTTCGTCTGTATTGTGTTGTATGTGTTGTCTTGTATTTAGTATTGTGTTTTTGGTTTGGGTCGTTTGGCCCCTGTGAGCCTGTTTGTGTACGGGTGTTTCCTCGTTTGGGGCCGTTCCACATTACCTCGTTTGGGGTCGTTCCACATTGCCCCGCTGGGGTCGTTTCATTTTGTCAGTGTCGTTGGTTCTAGTGTTGGTGTTTGAGTCGTTTTCTTTCTAGCCTTGCTAGCGATTCTAGGCGGACCTCGGTCTAGCCTCCAAGTTTGTATTTTCGCACATTTGTGCGCTTATCTATAGTACTTTTATCGTTCCGACCAAAAAAAAAAAAGAGAATATAGTTGATTTACTTATTGTATATAACTCAACTATGGAGCAAAATGTTGACTTCATAGCAAAACCGTTTAAGAAATATAACGACATGGACAAAAATTTATTAACAAACGAAAAGTTGGGTAACTACATTGATTTAGTTGGGACATCATGTAATAAATGTGCAAATGTGTATAGTTGGGGTATAAAAAATTCTCAAATCATTTTATTATCTTAACACTTTTTATTACAATAGGTTTGAATTTTATTATTCATCTCTTCTTTAAGATATACATATCCTTTTATTTTATAATTTTGTATTCATACTTAACTTCTATATTTTTTCAAATTTATTTATTCAACAATTTACTATATATTGAAATTACAACTATTATATTATTTTAGAAAAAATAATTATCAAATGAATTACTCACTCTTAATATTAGCAGTAACTAATGTTCAAGTACCATTGTAATTATAAAAGTTTATGTAAATGAACAAATAATGAGCAATGACATTCTTTAAATGGAAAGACCCATTGCATGCTTTTTAACTTCATAAATGAACACCTAATTTTCATTATGTTATATGTTATGTGTCAGAACCAATATATGGCGTAATTGATTTATTTCCCTCAATATTATGTTAAGTTGTCATGTTAACATCATTATTATCGAAATTAAAAAATGAGGTTCTAAATATTAGCAGTTGTATCATGTGAACATATATGCAAACTCAATTTGTTAGTTTATCTAAATCGTGGTGGTTATGAAACTCCAACTTCTCCACGATTTCACCAGTACTAATTCACTTATCTTAAAACTGAAAATATATTTATGCTATTAATATGTAGGATGAACTTTTATCTAATTTTTTGTTATGTTGTAATCTTTTCGTAATTTTTTTTTATTCTGTTAGCATTCTAAATATTTTTTTTTTGCCAGGTATAAAGACAAATCTCAAGTTTTTTATTAATTAAAACATTTTTTAGAAGAAAAAATCCTTCTAATAGCTTGGGTGGTTTTATAATTTAAAATGTAATTTTATTTATTAACTATTATTTGCATACATGTAATTACAATTTCTTTATTTGTTAACCATTCGTTTATGTAAATAAGTATCATATTATTATCTAGTATCTTCATATTTTTAGGAAGGCATTAAATATAAATTATTATTTAATACACATCATAAATAATTCACCGTGATTCAACATATTTTTAGGAAGGCATCCATAAATTATTATTTAATATACATTATAAATAAGTCACCGTGATTCAGCATGTTATGTACATGTAAAAAGATAATTTCTGTTATATTAATAATAAATCAAAACAAAAAAAAAATAAAAAAGAAAATAAACTGCCAATATATAAATGACAACAAATTTGGGTCTACTTTTACTATTAAACTATTATTAAAAAAATTAACGAAATGTGATCAGTGAACACACTTAAGAAAATAATAAAAAAAGATTGAAACTAACTTTCCAATAATAATAATATGATGAGGGGCCCACTAAAACACTTACTATTTTTAGTAAGCGTGTTGCCTAATTATATAGTAGATAGATATTTCCGCTTATATGCAATTGATCCTAATATACGAGTGTGAGGATTTCTTTATTCCTGCGACATATCAAGTTCATTGCTTGAATTACCATGGCATGGTTTCCATTCATTTTAATTTTTATATTATTTTTAATATCAACTCAAAATTTCACTTGAAAATTAACTCAATTGATTTTTATTTTTTTTTAAAATTAACAATGGTAAATAAAAAATATCCAATCACTTTCTAAATTTTAAAACGTGTTGGCACTCAGATTTATAAAGTGATCCAAAGAAATGAGTAGGACACTCTATCTACCTTTTTTTTTTTTTTTTAATTC